GGAAGGCTTTTTCAAAATCACATTATTTGCAATGGTATTTTACCCCTGTATTAGGGGCTAGGGGAGTCACAAGGATAGGGTTAGTGCAGTGGTGGTGAACCTATGGCATGTGTGGCACGGTGGGCATGCAGAGCCCTCTCTGTCGGCACATGAGGCAAGTCGCCCCAGCATCGCCCCAGCAGCCGAGCATAATAGTGCACATAGGGGCCATGCACATGCTCGGAAAGTAGTGGTGCCAGGAGATGACATCACAAGCCACGACTCATTAGCTGCAACTTGTCTGATCTTTTGCATGGCCAGTCCATGCACTGCCAAGGATATATGTATATATTTGCTTGGACTGGCTGTGAGTTGGTTTTTCTATACTAAAAGCTCAGTTTTCAGGTTTGATTGCAGTGTTGGCTCTTTGCGATAAATAAGTGGGTTTTGGGTTGCAGTTTGGTCACTTAGGCTCTAAAAGGTTTGCCGTCACTGCCTTACAACCCCATCTTCCTTCCTTTTTGGCTAAGGCAAATAGGAGTTGAAGACGAAATATTTGAATAACAGAAGATACTTATCTCTGTTTTAGATACATGATTTTTACTTGGGGAAGTTCAGACAGTTGCTCACAGAAAATAATCCAGGATTGTTTTGATTGGGTAGAAGCATTACTCTGCCACACCCTGCTACCCAAAGCAGAAAAGGTAGAGGTGGAGTTCTTGTCTTTGGTAGAATTTCCTTCCCAAAACTATTTGCACAGCTGATCTGTTCTTATCGTTTAGTCCTAAACATCTCTTAATATTGAGATTCCACTTTGATTTGCTGCATGTAAATGTTCATTAAATTTACAGACTCTAACACTTCTGTACCCTGTGAATACCCTGCATTATAGAACAAGCACTATCATGTTTTGGGATGGTTTTGCTTTGCTTCCAAAATGAGAGTCAATCACAAGGTCACAAGCAATGGTGAATGATCACATGGTTACTCCCAGGAAAAAAAGGAAGTCTTCTGTAGTAAAAATGTGTTGCTTGCTGCCAGGATGCAAATATTAATGTGCACAGAAGGCATTATGTGACATTTCTTCAGTCTGAAAATCGCCATTTATATTGCATGTCTTAAAATGAAATTTTGGCAAAGTAGGTCAGGTGTCCACAGTGAGACATTCCATTCAATGGACAATAGGTGGTGATTTTATCCTATAAATACAGGTAGCTACAACAAGCTGACCCGGTCTGCTTAAATTAAAACAGTTATTTGCGCATTTGGATTAATCGTATTGATATGGATGTCATATAGTGTTTGGATGATATACTATATTACATTTTAAAAATACAGTAATATACTATTGTAAGACTGCCTAGGGGTCTTCCTCTGGGGGGCAAGCTGCCCTTTCTACACTTAACATTTTAATAGGGTCTGTCTCAAGCATTTAGATCATTGCAAGTGTTAGCATTAATACAGGACTGAAACAATAGCCCTGGAGCATTTCCGGTTTACAGAATGATTCTGAAACATGAACATGTGACAATAAATGAATAGATATGCTCCTCTATGTTCAGGAAGACATACTCTTATACAGAATTCCACTGTACCTTTTTGGATTTTGCTTTCCTTTCTGACTTGTCAATGCTCTTTCTGTTTTGAGAGGTTAGACACTGTCAGCTCTCAAAATTACTCCACACTAGATTCATTGTGCAGCTCTGGGCTTGCTTGACTTATGTGACAAGGAGGTATCCTTGTCTTAGTGGACTGCGATGCTTAACACACAATGTAAAAAGCAAGGGCAACAACAGTGAGCAAATCTCAATGAAATTTAGCCTATTTGCTAACTATTCACAATATACAATTTATTCAAACATTACTCACTCTCTACCTTCTCTCTCCTAATCAATAGATCATGGCAAAAAAGGTATAATAATCCCAGTAAAGGGATTCTCACTCACTGCAGATACTGCAGACAGATTCATCTGATTCTGAGGAAGAAGAGAGGAAGTGGAAGAGAGGGGACAAGGTTTCAAGATTATCTAGCAAAGTTTTTCAGGCAGAACGTGAGAACTGACCTGCTTTGGAAGGGGTGGAAGGGTTTTCAGGATAGGAGGGGGAGCACAAGTGGGACCCAGCCATTGACCCAGTAAAGAGATGATGGGAGAAACAAGCTGCTCAGTTGGAGGGGCTTTGCTTTTCCCACCATCTTGCCCTCAAGCAGCAAGAGCTACCCTGAGCATCGAGTTAGAAGCTTTACTGAAAGGGAGGGGAGGAAAGAAAGTTTCCAGTTTGGATTCAGCTTTTCACATGGGCAGGAGCTTCTCCCTAGGCTTTGGTATTTGGCTATTTAGAATTCACACTGTTCTGTAATCTGTAGAGCTTCACTGAAAGAACAGCATGTCAAAGGTTTGTTTTGAGTTTGATGATGGGATGGAGGGAATCATTGTTATTTGTTTTTTGGTGCCAGGTTAAGACCTTTTTATTTAAAACTTATTTTAATTGTTAAATTATTTGAATTAATAGGATTTTAAATTTTTAGCTGAGAATGCACCGGGGGTTTTTAAACAATTTTTTAAAATTGTTTTATTGTTTTTATTTATGTATCCTTTGTGAGCCGCCCCGAGACTTTGTTGTGATGGGGATGGCATAGAAATGTTTTAAATAAATAAATAAACTAACTAACTAACTAACTAAACTCATGGCACTGACTAGGTTGATGCTGTCAGCGCTGTGAAATCTGGCTCATTGGACCTGAATGGACTTCTTGCCCACTTCCAGTACGATGACTGGAAGAGGGCTGAATGAAGCTTTTCCCCACAGACTTCTACACCTAAGACAAGTCACCGTTTGTACATTACAAACCAAACAACAAGCAATTATTAAAATTTGCACAAATTGGAGCTCAAAACTGCAGAGGTCAAGTGCAATTAGTGGAAATCACCATAGAATTTCATCATTTTCAGCTTATTATTTACATAAATAACATGATTTGCTATAAGCACATTTCCTTAACATGCTTGGAAAAAATGCTGCTACTCATGTCTGTAGTCACAAACAGGTCTTTTTTTTTTTTGGCACGATTTGCTATCAGAAATTAAATTCTTACATACTCCTGCTGACAGACACCTCTATCCTGTTCTGACTCACTGGGAAGCTGCAGAAGCAATGTGGCCTTCATATTTCAGTACACATAGATAAGAAATATTCCCCTAAGCAGTAAGTATGTGATCATAACATTAAGACTTGAACAAAATCTTGCCAGGAATTACCTTTTACTGGACAATACCCAGTTAAAGAGTCTTTATTCACATCTGCTGTCGTCCCACACCAAAGGCGTCCATCTTCATCGCCATCTTTTATGCAAGTTGCATGCCACTTATTCATGTACTTGAATGGGAATTCACAGGGTGCTCCAAAGGCATTGCCTCCTATGGTAAACAGAGCTTAAGGGAAAGTCAATCAATATGGTGTTAGAATAGCACAAGTTGGAAAAGTACTGAAATAAGAACAGAATTAAGCAAGCCACAAATCCTTCACACAAAGTCCTTAATCCAGAATTTCATGTGTAAACTTACAGTGTGTGCATGCATGTACCTGCATGTGCACATGTGTGGGTTTACATGTTTACATTTATGGAGAGAGTGGTTTTAAGCCACTTGCTTTGCATGCATGCAATGTGTGCCCTTTAAGACTACCAGAACGTGCTGTAGCAGACCAAAGTCTACCTGCTCCAGCATTTGGTTCACACAGTGGTCAACCAGAGATCTGCTGGTAGGACATGAGTACAATGGAACCCTTTCATTCAGGTTTCCAGGCAACTTTTCAGGTACTGGAGGCACTATATAGCCATCATCACTAAGGGGTACTTGATAGCCTTATCCTCCGTTAATTTGTCTGATCCCTTTTTAAAGGCATCCACGTTGGTGGTCATCACTACTTCTTCTGGCAGCAAATTCCACGTTCAACTCTGACTCTTGAATTAACATTCTTTTTATCTGTCCCAGTGTTTATGGGCAAGAGAGAGAGAAATAAAGGACTTGGTACTCACTTTCTCCACAATAGGTATAATTTTGTACATTTCTAACATTTCCCTTTGCTCAGTTCTGCTAAGTTCAGCAGTCATGGACATGACTTCCTCACAGGAGAAGCACTCCATCATTTGATTATCATCGTACCCTTTGCTCCATCATTCCCAGGCCTACAATATTCTTCTTAGAGGGTGGTAACCAGAACTGTATATACAGCATTCCAACTGTATTTTCTTTTAAGTGACGTGCCAGGAAGGACCCTGCACCTGGAAAAGGTGTGTGTGTGCGCGCGCACGAACGCATGTTCAGTAGCATCTGTGAAAGGAATCACCTGTCACCAGCCTCATTCCCTTCGTTCCCACTATAAATGGCCTGCTCCATATATGCCAATATATACTGCAAGCAGTAACTAAAAGCAGTACAGGAGAGATACGCACTGCACCATCCCCGTTAGCTCTGCTGACTGAATCCTCCTGCAGCCTGGGCGATGTGGGAGCCGAGCACGGGTCTGCAGGAAAGAGCTGTGTGTGCAAAAGCACATTTCTCCGCATGTGATGAACGTACGATGTATACATGCATCTGCAATGTATACATGTTTCCTAGGTAACACGATGATTGATCCGTTGGAGTGAGACATATTAGGATTCCTTGTAATATTGTCGGCTAACGGTGCTTTCAGGCAATGTTTCCTGCTACTAACAATCAGAACACTTTCCCATCTTTTCTTCCTTAATGTCTTGGTTTGTTTCTAGTAGGAAAAGATGAAAGAAGCAATGGGAAAGCACGGGAGACTGACGCACTGGCTACAGTTCTGTGCACGAGGCAGTGCAATTGTGCAACAAAAAGTTCCTCTGGAAAGCACCCTAAGTTGGGTCACTTCCTTTAGTGGTTGGTCTACACAGATTTTTGCAGGAAAGATGTGGCATCGAGAAGCGTGTGGCTTGTAGGTGCATGTGTGCATAAATGCATGCCTTCACATGCACATGCATGTACAGTAGCACTGGGGATCAAGAGGGATCAAAACTACTCTCATCCTGCCCCTGAGCATTTGCTTCTCTCACTCCTTTCTCATTGTCAGTCACTCTTACCATGGTCACTAAGGAAAAGACAGACACTGATAAATAAGCGGAAACAACACGGAAATGATACTGGTGGTTCCACCACGGATAGCTTTGTGACTCGTGTTGATTTGCAAGGTTCCTTCCTGACACAAGCCCAATCCTTTCTGCAAGCTCGGACAAGCTCTTCCACCACTACAGTACTCCAGCACCACCAGCACTTAACACTATTAGCTGCAGTGGAGAAGCACTGTCTGCACAGAAGGGGTACATGGATTCCTGCCATCTATCATTTCTGGACTGGTCCAGTTTCTTGGACGTTGAGCTTTGCATGCATCTTGAGTTCTCTCACATGGCTTTGTAGACCAATTTTCAGACCAGAAACGTTCAGCTGTGGCGTTTCCCATCTATATTACATGAGTAATTATTGTGTAGGTTGGATTCCAGTGGTGTTTCCCATCTATAACATGAGTGGATTATTGCGTAGGTTGGATTCCAGTGGTGTTTCCCATCTATAACATGAGTGGATTATCATGTAGGTTTTAATCCCCTAAGAATATACTGCATGCATGTACATATGAGGCTTATCTTGCAGTTGGTTTCATCTGCCTGAATTGCGGATTCGTACTGATGGGGCCATGCTTGCGATACAGCTGGAGCCTGGATTGAGTTAAAGCAATGCACATTGACTTGGATAGATGCATTGTTTGATGGCAGGGAACTTGCATAGAGATGGAAAAAATGAGGAAAAACATGAGTATCCCACCCATTTCTTACTGGGTTCAACCCCTCTACCATGGGGTTCTTCCCCTGGGTACATGAGGTCTGCCCCTTTACCACTGGGCTTTGCTGTTTGCTCTGAGCCTCCCAGGATCCATCCTTGATCCTCCACAATAACCTCAAGTGAGGAGTCACATTTCTACTCTCCAGAGACCCCACCCAACTGCCAGCATGTTGACCTTCAGGAAATGGCTGGCCTACCACAAGGTTAACCCTCCCCCTTTCATTTCTTATTCTGAATTACATAAATAGCACTTCCTTGACTGACTGTCTCACATGGAAACAAATGTGATTTGGAAATACTTGCATATGGGTGGATTCCATTCTTAATGTTTGCATTAGAAAGAAGAACATTATTCCTGTCTTCAAAAGGCACCAAGTGGTTAGTGTTAATTCTGAAAACCTTCTAGGACTAATAGCTGGGGTTGTGGTGAGTGAGAGGGTGTTTGTCAGAATCAAAGCAGGAGAAAACTTTTAAGTGTCTCCTCCCTGCAACTGTGTTCCCAACAAAATCAGGCCTCCCCCACCCCCACCCCCTGCCAAGTTTGACTCTGTCTTTTGCAGAGATGCTATTTGAAGCTGTGAAGAAGATTCAAGGAGCCTGAAGCAGATGCAGAGGCTAACTGAGGAAAGGAGGACTAACTCTCTAAAATTTACCTTCATAGCCCTTGGAACACAAGCCGTCTTTTGTTCCATAGATTGTCCAGGCACTATTTGTGTTTGGTGTTTTAGAAAGCATGACTTGACTCTTACGGCCATCAGCAGAATGTAGAAAGAAATCTCCGTTGAGTGCTACAAGGGTGCCATTTTTGCATCCCCACTGCTGAAGTTCACTGGTCCGATTGCAGGGGGAGAGTTTGACTGGAACCAGGTTTGCTTTTGAAGGCACTGCCAAGCATAATTTCACTCCCATGTTCAGAATCAGGCCCTCAGAAGCCCACTTAAACTGCTGCCACTCGTTATGTGCATTGCAGTAGTCCAGGATGATGGCACGGGATCTTTGAACTTGTACGCACATCTTGAATTTTCCATTATATATCAGAAAACTGTCACTTTCTACAGCATTAAGACAGAAAAATAACAGTAATGTTGTGAGATAGGGTTTAAAAGATTATTTTTTATTTTTTTACTACATTTCAACACTGCCCAATAGCCAAAGCACTCTGGGCAGTTCATGGCATTAAAAGCATAAACTACCACATGATAAAACACAATATAAAATGTGTAAAAGTTGAAAACCGTGGAATAATACTAAAGTAAAAAAGCAAGATCAATGCCAACATCTAAACATAAAATAACAGGGTAGGGCTGCAGTCCCATGCATGTTTTGACAGAAAAGGTCCTGCAACTCAGCATTTCCCACACAGCAAGAGGTCCTGGGTCTTGGTGTTTGGACTCCGAAGGTCCTGCGCTGCCAGGGAGAGAACTGTGCTAGTTCCCCCTTGCCTCCTCCAAGTTGCAACTGGACCTTGGGGTGTTGAGCATCAGGTCCAGAAGGATCCTGGGGCCATGGAGCTGCGGCTGCCCTAGTCGCCTTCCTCCTCTTCTCCAGCCCTAAATCCACATGACTAAAATGGCCATCTAGAGAAAATGTGAGGTGCAAGGGATGGCAGAGGCAGATCTCACCACCACTTCATCTTGCACCTTGGATTGGATACCCGTCAGCCTCCAAGTCTGGATGCTTACAAGTATGCACGGGCAAAAGGACTGCAATTTCCAAAACAAAAAAGGTGCTCACCTCTTTAGAAAGAGTTGCAATATAGGCACCGGGCAAGACTTTCCGTTCAGGGTATCTTACAAACTAATGTTTCAGTGTCATGGCTGAAGGCCTCTTGTTAGTACCCGTCAACTTCAGAATTTGGTGGGAGGACATAAAAAGGGCCCCTGAAGAAGATTTTAAGGTCTGAGCAGATATATGGGCTCCACGTGGCTTTAAAAGTGGCAACCACTGGCCAGATGGTGCTACTAAAAATCTTGGTAAGAAGCAATGAGATTGAAAGGCAGAAGAGTCAAATGCCCCTCATGTGATTCTGTAGTTCATTTTCAGTATCATTTCCAAATGGCTTGGCACACTGTGGCATTTATCATTCAATTTTATTAATATATTTTGTTGACAACCAGATGTCCTTATTGAAGATTTGTTTGCCAGTTTATTAATAAGATTATAATCATTGTGATTGTTGTCAACGTCTATATTAAGCTACATTATGTAGTGATAAGTTTGGTAGTGATAAGTTTTCAAAAGCACACAGAAACCTATACAACGCAAATATTATTTCTGTGCATTACTTCTAGACAACCTAGGGTCAAACTACACATGATGTGGAAGACCTGAGACTGGAGCTCTCCATTTTTATGTTACTAAGAGCACCACAAAAAGGACAGTTATTTGCCTTGTAGATGAGAGGAGGTTAAGCGTTCTTCTACATGCCCGTTGACTGGTGTTTCACCTGGAAAAATGTGTAAGCATTTGTATTCTGCTCAAATATTTCAATCTCAGTGGCTAATGCCAGTCTTAGGGAGTGATTTGGGTCAAAACAAAGATGCATTGTGGAGAACTTAACACCCCTTCCTCAGAACTATGTTCCCCTCTCTCTGGATGGTTTCCATTTGACCTTTAGCATAAGTCCTTAATTAATTTATCATCCAAAAGATACAAAAGGTGTACAATATACACATAATTTCCAAAAAATTATAAGTAAGCAGGGGTGCATGTGGTAACAAAAATCTTGAAAGTAAGAAGAACTTACCTGAGACCTGGAAAGCTGGCTGAAAGAAAAGCAGGAATGTCAGGAACCAAAGGGCAGGCATGGGAAAGGACGGAACCTTCCACAAAGCACTTCTGGAAGTGAGAGGGCTCTGTGTTCTCTTCTGAAATGAATCAAGAGGAGCAAAAATATTCAGTTCTGGGTTCACCCCTGCCCCAAATTTTGCTAAGCAGTTGATCAGGTTAATAAGACCTATTTCCACGTAAAATGTTTGGCTAATGAAGGCCAGTCTAAAAACCTTCAGCTCTTAGCACTTAACCTGGTAGAATCCACCAGCTAAAAAACTCCAAGTTATGCGACTTAAATACCAAGAAGGAAGGAAGGAAGGACGGCAGGAAGGGGATGCTTTTTTAACAGAGTGGCCCTGTGACCATCACTCAAAAAGAGGAAATATATTACCATGACAGAAAACAGTATACAACAACAAGACATAGATGAGCATTTAGTTATAGAATTTAGCTATAGGTTTTAGCTATAATTTAAATCTGAACACAATCTGCCTTACCACACTAGGGAAGACTGGTGTGACTGCTCGGTTTCTGGTCCAGGCACAAACTGGAGACAGGCAGCCTCTCCTCTCAGGGTTCTTTCAGCTGGACTTGGACTAGGCCACCTTCAGGCAGAGGGCTGTCCTTGGTAAACCAGGACATGTGACTGCCCCTGTGGTGCTGTCAGGCCTTGACAAGTTCTGTTGGGTGCTTGGATTGCGGCATAGAGAAGGAAACAATCAGAAGCAATCTGTGTGGCCAATCGGACTAGGATGAGACGTTCAGACGAGGAAGCTGATGTAAGACTTTCTGAAGCCTCCTATGGTTAAATTGACATTTGTGGGGGGTGGGGAGGGGAGGGTGGCATTGTTCAGGCTGCAGTGATTAAGCTAAGGCTACAGCAGGGCCCCCAACCCACAAAGTCTAAACTACCTGATTTGCGGAGGGACCACACTGGCCATAGTCCTGGTTCAGTTCCCCCTTCTCTCACGTTCATGGAGAATGTCTAATACAGCCCCTGGCTAGGTGCTAACCAGATAGATTGGGGTAGGCATCATATGGACTGGGGCCCTCTCACTGCTCCCACCGCTTCCATCTTCCTTCTTCCCACACCATCCCAGCACTTGCTGGTGCACCTTCGACATTCGTCGTAGCTGCAGCCCCTTCCATCAATTTCTATAAACATTCAGACTGCAATTTAAATGTTGTTGTTGACACATGATGACACTCTGCACTCTCCCAAGTGGTGAGCTCCAGGGCAGTGCTTATCTGAGTTTAGCTACCTTTGCTGGAGACTTACGCCACTTCCGTGGCTTTATTTGCAAACATCTCTCTGAGTTACAACTGCAGATCTGCTGCCACATATCCGAGCTTGAGAAAGCAGGGTTGTTGTTAAGATTAAATGGAGAGGAGGAGGTTTATAATGTTAGCTACAACAGTTAGAAAAGGTTCCGAGAAAGTACTCTAGTAAAAAAAACAAATTACACCCTTAATATCTATGTAGGATGATTAATGTTCATACTTATTGACTATATTTTAGATCCTAAAGTACATTTAGCCAAGCACTAAACCTGCTTAATCAGTAAGACTCACTCAATTCAAGGGGACTTCAGGCCAAACTAAAACTGGTTAAGTCCACTGCTAGAAGCAGTGCTCCCATTCAGTGGTATGAAGCAAAGCTGCTCCCAGAGGATGAGTTTAGAACAGAAAACTGGTAGGGAGAAGACAACGAGGAGGCATTTAACTTTGTTCCAGTCACCAGTTCTCCATTACAAATGGCTTTTCCCTTTAGGATAGGGTTAAGGAACCTGCCTTCTAGAAGTTGCTGGACTCCACTTCTCATGAACTTCAGCCAGCATGCCCAAGGATCAAGCATGGTGGCAACTGGAGCCCAACAAAATTGGGGGTGGGGCTGAGCCAGATGTTCTCTCTCCTGTTCTACAGAAATCAAAGCACATGAGAAAGCCACTAAAAGGAGCAATCTGTGTTTTCAGTGGTGGTCTTTGTACTTGGGTATTGTTATATGGATTTTTATTCAACAATTAGTTTGTCCATTATTGTTGTTGTCAAAGTCACAAAGTCATGTCTGACTCTTCATGACCCCTTGGACAATAGACCTCCAGACTCTCCTGTCTGCCACTGTTTCCTGGAGTCCACCCAACCCCACACCCACCACACCAGTGACCCCATCCAGCCACCTCAACCTCTGCCACCCCCTTCTCCATTTGCCTTCAATCGTTCCCATCATTGGGGTATTTTTGTCCCTTATACCTTACTAAATATGCTTCAGTCAGAAGCTTCAGTGTGTTTGGATGATCAGAAGTCAAACGTACACTGTGTGCAAAAAGCATGTTGTGCAACAGGATGTAAGAAACCAGCCTTCAGTACTGCGGTCTCACTGTAACTAAGGAATAAAACGTGGGTCTTCTGCAGTTACAAGTTCAGCAAGTTTCATGCATCAGAACTGAGAGCATTTCTACTTATGAGTCAGTTAAAAGGTCAAGTGTGTATAAAGTATATATGCAAATAAATAATTGGAAAAGGAAAGGAAATAAAGAAAAAGGGCAGTTGTGCATAAATCTTAATATCATGTTTATAGGAGAGGATAGAGTTAAAAGGGCTTTCCTGGAGGTGAGGTCTTTTAAGGCTTCATGTACAGAATGTCCTTGGTTCGACTCCTAGCATCTCCAGCTATGGTAGGAAGAACTCCATCTGGAAATCCTGCAGAACTGCTGCCAGCCAATATCTATACCCATGTGCTCAAGGGGTCAAGTGCTCAGCTGGGCTCCTACAGTCCTGTATCACCTGCTTCAGAGTGTGCATGTGTGTGTGCATTAGAAGTGAACAGAGGCAGGTGTCGCAGTGCAGCCAGAGTTGTGCAGTGGTGGCATAGAAACAGAGCGAGTCAGATGGGACCTCCTGGGCCATCTAGTCTGACCCCCAGCTCCAACCAGTTCTGCTTATGACATGACTACCATGTGCACGTGAAAAAGCAAAGGTACCTTATCCAGTCCTTTTCCTCTCCATTTCATCCTCACAACAACCCTGTGAGACAGGGTAGACTGAGAATCAGGGACTGAGCCAAAGTCACCCAGAGTGCTTCATGACAAGTGGGGACTAGAACCCAGATCTCCTAGATCCCTAGTCTGGCACTCTAACCACTGTGCCACACCAGCTGTCATACAACTGTAGTCGGAATGAGAGGACCTGGTGGAGGTGGGTGGAGGGGAGGCTGAGGAGGGCAAAAGGGCCATTGATCATGATGGCAGTGAGAAGACAACTGAGAAGCCAGAACTGAGGGGTGAAACCAGAAGGAAGAGTGAAGGAACAAACCCCGATGTGCCAAAACTAAGACAACTGTCATTGCCAAGGGGTTGACATTGACCAGGATCAGAGAGCACCATTATTCACACTCAGAGGGTGAATTGTTATTGAAACATGAGCTATTGTGTTGCCTGAACCCAACTGAGTTATGAAACTGTGATAACCAAGCCACAGTTCCTATCCCAACAAAAAAACACAGATTTTTGTCGTAAGTTTTTCATGATTCACAAGCTGTGACTTGTTAGTGTGGCTGAGTTTGTGTGCTACCTGGACCCAGAAAGTGAAACAAACAGCTTTGACCAGCATCAGTGAATCCTTCACAGAGTCCGGACGACCATTTATTAGGGGTGTTATAGTTGCATCCTGCAGGTGGTTGGGTTGGATGACTGGCAAGAGGAGTCCTTCCAAACTGTATAATTTTATTATTCCTAAGTGTAGGTGGGAAAAGGGTTAGGGTTAGGGTTAGTTAGGGGGAAATAAGTCAAGAAATAAAAGGTCACATTAAAAAGGCAGAATTTAAAAGCATCATCCTGGGTATCCAAGAGAACTGCAGTTAGTTTTGTATTTGATTAATTGTGGATATATGAATTTGATTTGAATCCTGCCTTTTTGTCACAATATTCATAAATTTCAACCAGTGTGGGTATGTGATGTTGTTTTTGCCTGTCTCTCTATCTTCTCCACAACTGAAAAGAAAAGCACATCCATAACACATTTTCCCAGCTATTTGAGGAAAATAACTCTGTGTCAAGTTGGTCTTTTTGTTCTGCCTGGCCTAGTTTATCATTTTTGTGTCTGAGTAGCCTAATGTTGGGTGTTCTCTTCTTTTTCACCACCAGCACACACTGAATGTCAGGACAGGACATGAAGCCTGAAGAACAACATGTTCAGGAGAGTCATGGGGTTGTTGTTTGGGGAACAGTTCTGTCCTTCTGAAATTGTGTGTTGTTCCTCGCCTCAGAAGCCTTTGGAAAATGTGAATTGCAAACAAAATAGATGCCATCCGAGAGAGAACTGAAAGTAATGGTAAGAAGCTTCCTGAAAATTGTTGAACAGTCATTCCAAATCACTAAGTGGCCTCTTCATTGCTGTGACTTGTGTAACATTCTCGTCTGATGTTGCCACACACCGTATTTTTTGCTCTATAAGACACACTTTTTCCCCCCTCAAAAGTAAGGGGAAATGTCTGTGCATCTTACAGAGTGAATGCGTATGTGCCCGATGCCCGGGACGCTGCCGGCCCGCCTGCACCACGTGGCAACACCTGGCCGGCACGCACTCAGTGCGCCCTGCTCTGCCCCCCTCCTGCGGTGCAGGTGAAAGCTGTTAATCACAGGTCAGTGTGTGTTTTCAAATGGCAACCCGTCTTTTAATGAAGCCCATGGGGAAGTGATGGGGAATGTGCCTGTGATTATCAGGAAGCTTTCCATGGATCCCTCCTCTAAAAACTAGGTGCATCTTATGGTCAGGTGCATCTTATAGAGCAAAAAATACGGTAATTCAAAAGAAGAAAGAACTGCGAACCAAGCATATTCAGTGGATGATTTCCCGATGAATCATAAGGTGATTTTGAAAGAAATTAAAGCTGCAGTCCTAAACACATTTAGTAGGGCTCCTTTGAATATAGCAGGAATCTAGAAAATTATTGTGTTCCACAGAGTTAGTATTCAGATATCAATTTCTTTGGCAGGCTTGCTCATTTTCCTTTCCATAGATCACGAATCACAGCTAATCTAAGGTTTCACATTGCTGGTCTGTGTTGGTAATTACTTTGTTTTGCCTACATTTACAGGTGAACTTTCTAATGGATTCAGTATAAATTCATAAGCATGAATAAGTTCATTCATCCTTAACATATGTTGAGCAGGTATGTTTACTCTCCTAAAATTCCACCTTGTGAATGGCATCTCCAGCAGTTTCTGGATCAACCATTTTTTAATTTGTTGGGTGAACAGTACCAAGGCAGCAAATATTTGTAAACATATTCTTTTAAGGACATGCATAGGTTTTTCAGGATCAAATATCCA